CGGTTCCCTTCCCAGCACATCAAAGAAAAGGAAATGAAAAACCCAGACGCGCGGCGTGCCAACCACGTGTGCTTGGTTGCCTGTGTTTTCTTTTCTTTTTTTAAATTTACTCTTTTGTGTCTGTGACTGTTTTACCTGCTTGTCTGTAGGTGTGCCACATGAATGCCTGGTACCCTCGGAGGCCAGAAGAGGGTGTTGACTCCCTTCTGGAGTTGTGGGTTGTGAGCCATCATGTGGTTGCTGGGAACCTGGGTCTTCTGCAGGAGCAGTAGGTGCTCTTAACAGGGCTGAGCCATTTCTCCAGGCCCTTTGGAATCACTGCGTTAAAACACTGTCTGGGGGCTGGAGGTTTGTAGGCACCAGAGGCCAGAGTTCAGCTTCCAGGACGCATGGTGGCGTGGAAGCCAGTGAAAACGTGTGAAAAGGGTCCGAATTCAGGGTTTTAGGTGTGTATGATAAGCATTTTACCTGCAGGGACTGCCCCTGCTCAGAAATGTATTTAAAATGTTATTTTAGATTTATTTATGCATGTGACTGTTTTCCCTAATGTATGTATGTATACCACATGTGCGCCTGGTGTCTGAGGAAGTCAGAAGGCATCGGATCCCCTGGACCTGGAGGTACAGCCAGGTAAACTGAAGGCGCTGGCGCTCAAACCTTGGTGCTCTGGAAGAGCAGCGAGTGCCCTTAGCTGCTGAGCCATCTCTCCAGGATACACAGTCCGCCCCTAATCCCAGTATTCTAGAGGCAGAGGCAGGAGGTTCACCACAAGTTCAAGGCCTGACTCATCTACACAGTGACGCTGTCCCCTAAAATAAACAATCCCGGGCTAGGTGTGCTGTGTGGCTCAGTAAGTGGGTACAGTGCTTACCCAGCCTGCCTGAGACCCCAGGATCTGTTCCAAGCACCGGTGGTGGGCCTGGTACTGCCGAAGTGTACGGTGGGGAAGGGTTTGGTGTGTGCCGGCTCCAGAGCCTGGGGGGGGGGGTGTCTTCAAGCGCCATCTACTGGAGCTCAGGCAGGGCAGGGTTTCTGGCTCTGCAGGAGGTAGGGGGCAGGACAGGTCCACTGCCCATGACAGCTTGCCACTTCTACTTCACCAGGCGCCTCTCTCTCTCTCTCTCTCTCTCTCTCTCTCTCTCTGTTTTAAGTTTGACCATTCTGCCTGCCTATCTTTCTATTAAGGGTGTTGTTTGGTATCTCACTGTCAATCATTTTCCCTCAGACCCTCCCCCTCGCTTCTGCAGGCCAGCGGATGGGCCTGTCTGCCCCATGGGGCAACAGTGTGGTTTACTGATTGGGACCACGATCGAGCTCCATCAACGGACTCTGGGAACTGCTCATTCGAGGGAGAGAGCCCCCACCCTGGAGTTCCTGCACCAACCGTGCACCAGGAAACAAACAGCCAGGAGGGCAGACTCTCCCTGTTTTTCTTAAAGTCTTATTATTATTATTTTTAGCTTTTAGTTTTATGTGTGTGAGTGTTTTGCCTGCATGTATGTTTATGCCTGGTGCCCACAGAGGTCAGAAGAGGGCATCAGATCCCTGGACTGAAGCCACAGATGGCTGTGGCCACCATGTGGGTGCTGGGGGTTAAACCCAGATCCTCTGCAACAGCAACAAGGGCTGTTACCTGGAAAGCTCTTTTTCACTGAAGAACTTCAGATAATAAATGAGGGGAAAATGTAAATAAATAAATAAATGGTGGTGCATGCCTTTAATCTGGGCAGATCTTTCCAAGTTCAAGGCCAGCCTGGTTTACAGAGCAAGTTCCAGAAGAGGCTCCAAAGCTACAGAGAAACCCTGTCTCAACCACTCCTCCCGCCAAAAAAAAAAAGGTAAATCAGAAAATAAATAAATAGCAATCAGGAATAGATTTTCCTGGGTCCTGATTTTTGCTTGTTTTAAGTTATTTTTATGTAATGAGTTTTTCTCCTGCCTGAATGTCTCTGTATCATGTTTGTGCCCAAAGCCTGTGGAGGTCAGAGGGTGTCAGGTGCCCGGACCTGGAATTACAAGTGGTTGTGAGCTACTCCGTGGGTGCTGGGAGTCAGGCCAAGCTCCTCTGCAAGAGCAGCCAGTGCTCATAACTGTAAGCTGTCTCTTTGCCTGTTTGTGCTTTGAGAAAGGGTCTTGCTTGTGTAGACTGGACCTTGCTGAGACCAGGCTGCTCTTGGACTTGCAGCCATCCTCCTGCCTCTGCCTCCAGAGTGCTGAGATTATACTACCATTCCTGGTTTACAGTTCTGATTTGATCAGACCTAAGATATTTTTGAGATATTTGATTAAACTTGAATATTGGTTAGATAGTAGATACCACTGTTAGTACTTCTCTGAGTGTCCAATGACATCAGAATATTAATTTTTTTTGTTTTAAAGATTCCTTTAAAAGGAACTGAGACAGGCTGGAAGATGGCTCAAAGGTTAAGAGCATTGCCTGCTCTTCCAGAGGTCCTGAGTAATTCCCAGCAACCACATGGTGGCTCACAACCGTCTGTAATGAGATCTGGTGCCCTCTACTAACACATAGGCATACATGCAGGCAGAACACTGTATACATAATAAATAAATCTTTGAAAAACCAAAAAGGATCAGAGGCTGGACCTGAAGCGTTTGAGACATCGCACACTCCAAGTCAGCCTGGGCTACAGTGTGAGGCCTTGATTTAAAACTCACCTTTAATCCCAGCAGAGGCAGGCAGATCGCTGTGAGTTCGAAGACAGCCTGGTCTACAAATCAAGTTCCAGGATAGCCAGGGCTACACAGAGGAATCCTGTTTCAAAAGTTAAAACAAAACAAACCAACAAACCAGAAAAAAAAAAACAACAGAATTTGATGTTGGTCTGTCTTGGTGGGATGTACCAACAGTCCTTGTTCTGAGGCAGGAGGATTTCAGGAACTGGAGATCAGCTGGGCAATAGTGAGACCCACCCTAAAACAACCAAAACCTAACCTAAACTGACTGTTGAACACAGGGTAACCATTTTTCTCTTTTTGTGTTTTGGAAATGTCTGTTAGGCAGCTGTGGTGGCACACTTCTGGTATCCCAGTCCTTGGTCTCCAAGCGGGAGGGTGTTGAGGAGGCGGCCAGCCTGGGCTTCGTAGTGAGTTCAATCCACTTTGAGATTCATAACAGGATTTTGCTAAAAACAAAGTGATTAAAAGATGACTTGTCTACAGCTTTTAGACAACGCGAGCATGTGTTTGTGTGGGCGCCAGTGTGTGACAGTACGCGCTCACACGTGTGCTCACTGGAGTGTGTGTGTGTGTGATCACACGCTCACGTGTGTGCTCACTGAAGTGTGTGTGATCACACGCTCACACGTGTGCTCACTGAAGTGTGTGTGTGTGATCACATGCTCACGTGTGTGCTCACTGAAGTGTGTGTGTGATCACACGCTCACACATGTGCTCACTGAAGTGTGTGTGTGTGATCACACGCTCACATGTGTGCTCACTGAAGTGTGTGTGTGTGATCACACGCTCACACGTGTGCTCACTGAAGTGTGTGTGTGATCACACGCTCACATGTGTGCTCACTGAAGTGTGTGTGTGATCACACGCTCACATGTGTGCTCACTGAAGTGTGTGTGATCACACGCTCACACGTGTGCTCACTGAATTGTGTGTGTGTGATCACACGCTCACACGTGTGCTCACTGAAGTGTGTGTGTGATCACACGCTCACACGTGTGCTCACTGAAGTGTGTGTGAGAGCATGTGCTCACGTGTGTGCTCACTGAAGTGTGTGTGATCACACGCTCACACGTGTGCTCACTGAAGTGTGTGTGAGAGCATGTGCTCACGTGTGTGCTCACTGAAGTGTTTGTGATCACACGCTCACACGTGTGCTCACTGAAGTGTGTGTGTGTGAGCACGCGCTCACATGTGCACAACTGAGGCCTCCTGCATGCTTTAGTGCTTACCCCTGGGCTGTGTCAGAAGCCCTGGGCACACATCTCTGGAAAAAACACACAGAACTGTGCCCTTGTGCACTGGGCTACACTTCTCCCACACAGAACTGTTATCTTAATGTTTCTCAGAGCAGCTATCGACAGAGAAACGACCCTCTAACTGCAAACGACCACCTTTGTCCCTAATATGTTTAAATTTTTAAAAGCGGAGACTGTGAGGTGGCTCAGCTGGCAAGGCTCTTGCTGCCAACCCTAACAAGCTGAGTTTAATCCCTGGGACCCACAGGAGAGAACCATCTCCAGCTAACAGTTCTCTTACCTCTGCGGTACAGTGGAACACGCACTCCTTCCTCTCGACAAACACGGGCGCCCCTCACCTTCCTCCCGACAAACACGGGCGCCCCTCACCTTCCTCCCGACAAACACGGGCGCCCCTCACCTTCCTCCCGACAAACACGGGCGCCCCTCACCTTCCTCCCGACAAACACGGGCGCCCCTCACCTTCCTCCCGACAAACACGGGCGCCCCTCACCTTCCTCTAGACAAACACGGGCGGCCCTCACCTTCCTTCCGACAAACACGGGCGCCCCTCACCCACTGAACCCGGGGTCTTAAGCATTCTAAGCATAGGCAGTAGCTTTCCCACTGAGCTACACATCCAGCCCAGAAGTGCGGGGTTACACCCGGCATCTGCGCGAGGGTGACAGTGCTAATTTCTCACAGGCTGGGCTGACACGGCCTCCCACCAGGCTTTACACACCTGTTCCCTATTTCATATCCTGCCTTATTTTAGAAATATAAAATATTCTAAGCCAGGCAGTGGTGGCGCAGGCCTTTAATCCCAGCTCTTGGGAGGCAGAGGTAAGAGAATCTCAGAGTTCCAGAACAGCCAGGGCTATACTGAGAAAAAAAAAAGCAAATATAAATAAAAGTACATAAAAACAAAATAAATAAGTGAAACTCATAGTCGCTTCATGGGAAACATGCGGTTTGATTGACGGGTCCCCGTTCTAACCTCACTCCGGTTTCACCAGTGTCCGTGAGGCAGTCCAGAAGGTGCGAGCAGACAGAACCATAGACTCCAGAAACGCTTTATCTCCTTCATTAAAAATTTTAAGTTACAAATATTTTGATTTATAAATAATCAAGGTTGTGTGTGTGCGCCTACCCCTTACTCTGAAAGGCCATTCTGCCCCGGGTTCTTCCTGGAATCCTCTTTAAGTCCAAACCCCAGGAGGACGCTGGCCTTCCCAGTTCCCGGGGTTCACATTTAGTCATCACTCCAGGGAACACCCCCGCGCCCATGCTGTCCCTGCCTTGTCCTGAGAGAGCGCGTGGGGCTGTCCCCAGCTTTCTGGAAAGTGCTCCTGGTGCTGGAGGGACTTCCTGCCTGGGGGAGAGGAAGCTGAGCCGTTATGTCATAACCCAGTGACTTCCCTGTCAAAGAGAAGTTGCTTCTGCAAACGGAGGAAGAGCTGTGTTTCAGGCCCCCTCTGCAGACCCCGGGAGGGAGAGCCAGCCGTGAGGTCGGAGTCCAGGGCTCAGAGCGTCCCGTAGATGCTGACTTTGACCATGGAGATGCTCTCCGTGTACCGGTTCAGGCCTTTCTCATACAGAACGAACAGCTGCGGGGGCTGCTGTTCTCCGTCCGTGCTGTTTTCCAGCGTTGTCAGGGACGAGTAGCCGCTGGGCCCTGGCCACACCTGGACTTTCTCCTTCTGCCAGGATGTACCATTGCTGAAGCTCCAGCGCAGGGTCAGGTTCACTCCTAGGTGTGCGATAGGCACAGGAGGGAGTTGGATCTGCCCTGTCCAGGCCCTGGCTAGGCATGGTGCCCCCACCCACCCCACCCCCAGGTACTCACGGAACTCGGGATGGGCTGGATTGGAGAAGAAGACAATGCCTGAGCTGGTGGCTACTGCTCCTGCTGCCACCACTGGGTCCACCAGCTCGGGGTCGAAGGTCACATCCCTGGGCCGGAGGGTATCACAGGCATCGTAGCTGCGGAGCACGATCCTGCAGCGGCAGTGGTAGTTGTTCTGGTTCCGGGCATTGATGATGACGGAGCCATCTGGAAGCTCGTAGGGCTAAGAGGGGAGGACAGGGCCGCTGAGATGCCGGGGAGGCTGAGGAAGCCAGAGCTGGGTCTTTGGGTGCAATGGCATTCCGGGCGAAGGTGTGGGCAAGCGAATTCCCACCGACTCCTGACCTGGCATTCGTCGGGGTTGAAATCGTGCTCGTGTTTGGGCTGGCCGAAGGGGATGCCGCTCACTCCGGTCCCGTAGTGCCAGGAGGCACCGTGATCATCACTGAGGAGGCAGAAGACGCCATCTCTCTCCAGCGTCCCATGTCCACACACGATGAGTCGGCCCTTGTGAGGCTCCCGCTGTTTCTGTGAGAGAGGATGGCGCTGTGGGGCGCAGGCGGGCAGAGAGGGCACCTCCCAAGGCGAGGATACTCCTGGGTCCCTGCTGTTCTCCCAGACACTGCCCGCATGAAGAAGCTTGTGTGTGTGTGTGTGTGTGTGTGCCAGGCCTGTAATCCCCGCTACTGGGGAGGTACAGAGTGACTTTAAGGCTAGCCTGGGGAACTTGGTGAGGTCCTATCTCGAAAATAAAAAGTATAATAATAAGGCTGGGGGCTCAGCTCAGTTAGTGGTAAAGTTCTTGCCTAGCATGAGAAGGCCCTAGGTTAATAACACCCATTAGAAAAAGAAAGGAAGAAATGAAAAAGAAAATTAGTTCACCATCTCAGCCCAGGCTGGCCTCCCTCCCACTCACTAGGTAGCCAAGGCTGACTCTCAACTGGGTTTCTCTGTGTAGCCATGACTGTATTAGAATTCCCTCTATAGACCAGGCTGGCCTTGAACTCCGAGAGTCTTAACTTCCAACCATTATCACCTGCCAGAGGAGCTTTAATGGAGGCCTGAGTCTCAGTAGTTTACCCAAAGCAATACCTGGTTGCAGAAAGAACCACAAAGATTACCTAGCACCACCCAAAAACAGGCCATCCAAAAGAAATGCCTAACGTTCCAACCACTATAGATAGGATCTTCTGCCAGCACACTCACCAGGACACCCCTAGACAAGTGTCAGCCAATCAGGGGGTCCTGAACCTCAGAGACCCCTCACTCCCACCTTTACTACTATAAAACCCTATTCTAATTGAGCTTGGGGCTCTCCATTTATTCCAATACATTGGACATGCGGAGAGACTGAGTTTGCAAATTTGATTAAAATAAAGGCTCTTTGCTTTTGCATACGGGACTTGGTCTCCTTGTTGGCTTTTGCAGGGACTTCAAGGATGTGGGCATAACACATACATACTGCTTGGTACTTACACCCTCCCCACTGCCCTTCCCTGGAAGCTCCCCAGGACATGCAGAGTGCACCTCCAGACATGTGCACAAGTACCCACCCAGCCTTTGGGGCTTCACGCCTGCCTGAGTGTGGACTCCGCTGGGCACTGGGCACCGTGATAGAGGTCTGTGTCTGCCCAAAAGCCACCTAACTCTACCCTGCTCAGGCTAAGGACAATCTGTGGACAACCCCATGCGAGAAGCCAACGGCAGGGTTTCATCTCCACAGCAGGGTGCTCTTTCCAGAATATCCCCGCTGCCATCTCCAAGGAACCCCCCTCAAGGAAGAAAAAAATCTAATTTACAGGACGTTGCCCTCTTCACCTATCCCCAGGATAGAAACCTGAATGCCAGAGCCTGGTCCAGGGGCAAACATCTCGGTGCCAATATCCTCGGAGAGGTTCCGGGGTGGGCTCCAGGAAATGCCGTCATCCTTACTCCATACCAGCATGGTGGAGGCCACCTGGCAGTTGACCTTGTGGGCACAGAGGGTGTAGATGAGGAACACCACTCCTGTGTGAACATCGTTGACCACGGCCCCCAGGTTCAGCCCATCCGAGGTCTCCCCGTCGTCTACAATGAAGGCTGTAGAGGACCATGTGCTACCTGGGGAAGAAAAGAGCAGAGTGAAATTGTACCCTTTCTGGTTCACTTCCTGCCGTTCCCCAGGGACCTTACGGTGGCACCAGGACCCTGTTTCTTCTTTCTCTGACATTATTTCCTGCTCATTCCACCTAGCGACATAATTCTCATTCCCAGTGAGAATTAGGAGGCCACCCCTTGGTGGTCGCAGTTAGTTCCCAGGACACTTTCTCCCTCGGGATTCCCTAACTCCTTAGGGAACTCAGGCCTCAAAGTTCTACTCTGGGCGGTTGGATTGGTGAAGGGAACCCCCTACTCTCCATCTCGGTCACCCACCCAACCCCCTCATCCCCGGGCACCTTTGTACCCTGGTCCGTGGACCTCCTCATGGCGATGAACTTGGCCCCCTCGTCGGACGCAGACTTTTTCCTGGCCTCGGCGAAGGCGAGCAGCGTGCCCCGAGGGGTGGCTGTGATGAGCGGAATGCGGAAAGTGTCCACCGAGCCGATCTGCTTCCCGCTCACCCACAGCAGCTGCTCCATGGTCACCAGCGGCTGCACCTGTGTGGAAGGAAGGACCCCTTAATGCAGACGAGCTAGACGAGGCTTCAAGACCGGTAGGGAGCGCCTCCAGCTAGGGTAATGGGGAGCCTCGGCAGGGCTGAGGGGTGTCCCGCAACAAGAGAAGGCAGTCGGGAGGAGAGTATGGGCGGAAGCCGAAGATCCCTGAGCAGGGGAGAAGGAACCCTCGGGGATGGGAGAGGATGGGGGCGGGAGTGCCGCTCGGAGAGGTGGCCGAGCCGGGGGACAGCGGCCACCTCTGCAGGTGCAGCAGGGCTCACCAGACTGAAGTCATCTTCCACCCTGGCCTCGGACCCCGCCACCGCCACCAGCAGCAGGAAGATCGCTGCGAGCACCTGACCCCGACGGCGCGCCCAGCAGCTCAGCGGTGCCCGGGGTCTGCTCGGCTGTGCCCCCACCATTGCTTCCCGATGCGTGTCCCCCCGAACTGGTTACCGGCGGCGAGCCGTCAGCTGACCCCGACCCTTTAAATGTGCACACGTCACTCCGGCCCCGCCCCTCGTGGCCGCGGCCCGCGCTGCCGCGACTCCCGTTGGTCCTTCCAGCTGTCCGACATCAGCATGTGACCCAGGAGGCGGGCTCAGCCTGCGTGAGCTTTTTGATTGGCTCTGATACCCGGAACGCGACGAAGGGGCGAGGCTTGTTGCACAGAAACCGGCGGGGAGGAAGGCTCTAACCCCTTGTGGAAGGACTAGAAAGCACTTTGGGGACAGTGTGACTCCGTTGGTAGAGTTCCTTCCAGTCTAGGAAGCCCTCGGTTCAATCCCTGCCACCACCTAAGTCAGGTGTGGTGGTGCACACCTTATATATAAAATTTAAGAGTCACGTGGGTTTGCAGAGTTGGCTCAGTGTAAAAAGCATTTTGCTGTACGCTTTTCAGAACCCATTCTGAAACCTGTGCTCTGGAGGCAGAGATAGAAGATCGTGGGCAAAAAACGGTTAGCTGAATCTTTTTTTTTTTTTTTTTTTTTTTTTTTTAAGACAGGGTTTCTTTGTGTAAGCCTGACTGTCTGGGAACTTGCTCTGTAGATCGCCTGGTCCTGAACTCACTGAGATCCTGCCTCTGCCTCCCGGGCGCTGGGATTAAAGGTGTGCGCCACCATGTCCAGTTCATTTTATTTATTCTAAGATTGCTTATGTGTATCAGGCAGTGTTAGCACACACCTTTAAACCTAGCATTCGGGAGGCAGAGGCAGGCGGATCTACACAGAGAAACCCTATCTAAAAAACCTGAAAATAAATAAATGGAAAACAAACAAAAAGAAGCAGTCCCTTGGATTGTTGGTGACAGATCCCTTATTTGAACAGCCCCCTCCCCCACCTCTTCTTGTGAATCAAGGTCTTGCCCAGCTCCATCTGGCCTTGAGTTCACTCTGGAGTTCCTCCTGCCTCCACCTCCTGAGTAAGAGGACCACACGTGATTCCAGGCCGTGTTTATGCTGGAGACAGAATCTGGGGTGCTTACATGCTAGGCAGCCACCCTATCATCTGAAGGACACCCCAGTCTCCTACCCTCGGGTCCTGAACACATTTTCTTTTACTTGCTATAGAACCATGTAATAGTAATTTGGACTTCTATAGAAGAGAAATGAGTTTGAACTAAAAATAAAAACCATACTTATCAAGAATATAAAATATTAATCTTTAATAAAATTTGTTTACTATAAAATTGTGATTCTTAAGGCGTATCTGGCTGGGCTTCTGTACAGGAGGGTTGCTGTCCTGGGTCACGATGCCACCTCTCACTTCTTCCTCTTCTTGCCCCCAGCAGGGACCTCATTCTTCTTGCCCAGAATCTTCATCAGTGCCATGGGCATGTAGTAGGGCCGCTCCTGGGAACCGTCGTTTCTCTCCAGATCCTCCACTGAGTAGCAGAGTAGATCAATTAGAGCAGACCCTGATAAGTGGAACCCTGTTGCACCCCAGAAATAATCTGGGCTGTGTAGATCCAACAGCCTGGTCTCCTGTCCAAGCCACTTAGTTCTTTATTTGCTGAGATCCACCTGCCTCTGCCTCCCGAGTGCTGGGATTAAAGGTGTGCACCGTCCCTGCCCGGCTATATAGGCAGTTCTATATAACCTGCTTCCTCAAGTAAAGAGTATAAATGATCGTATGTTTTATAGGGTGACAACAGGAGAAAGAAAAATTGCATGTCAGTTCGTCATGGTGGCTTTCGTTTGATCCTAATATTTAGGAGGTAGAGACAGGACCACTTAGAACACAGGGCCAGCCTGAGGTACACAGCAGAACTCTGTCTGGGGAATGGCTGTGTATCTCCATGGTTCTAGCACTTAGGAGGCAGAGGCCAGAAGACTGGAGTTGATCCAGCCTGGTTTATGGAGCGAGCTGGAACCAACCAAGAATACATAGTGAAAGTAAATAAGATTTAACCAAGAAATAAAAGCATAAAGCAACAACAAAATCCTGTTAATTGCTCAGTGTGTGGCTGGGGGAATAGCACCGTGGTGGGACATTCCTGCTTTGCAGGCACAAGGCCTGGTGGCATCATCACTGGGACAAAAAGGTACCACAATGCCGAGCACTTGGGGGCTGAGGTAGATGGCTCGTGAGTTTGAGCCAGCCTTAGCTATACAGTTAGTTCTGGGTCAACCTGTGCTATATAGTGTGATCCTGTCCCACCTACCTGCATGTCCCCTCCCGCAAAAAATAAAAATAAAAAACAACTAAATAAAAGAAGGAAAAACACCCCCCCACACACACACACACTATGACTACCTTCCGGGAAATGTTCTGCGGTTAGCATCTTCCTATGTTTCCCAGCCAGGCCTCTGTCTGAGAAGGGTCCCCTCTGAGAATGTCCAGGGTTTGTTCCCTTCTTCCCTCCCCAGACTTCTAGCCTCAGAATGTCTGAAGATGCTCCCTCCAGTTGCTTTAGTTCACAAAGCTACAGACAGCCTCCAAGAGAAGCCCAAAGAGTCAGGAGTCAGGGTGGGGGACACTCACGGAAGCAGAGGAAGAGCGTATCTACACACATGCCAAACACGCTAAAGAAGCCACTGGCGATGACATAGGCTCCCATGATGGAGGTCTGCAGGAAACAAGACTGATTGGAACCCCACTAGGCGCGTCTGGGGACTTGGGTGTAGCAGAGGGAGATGTCACTCACCATGATGGGCAGCCAATAATAGTTGAGGTTGGGATTCTCAAAGTCTTTCCCCAGCCCCTTGATACGACCGGAGAAAAAGAAGAAAGACAGGACACCTGCGTGGACAAGGTTCCCAGGGTCAGGGCTGCTCCTCTGCAGACACCCCTTTCTGCACGTATTCCAGGGGCCCCCGACTCTGCAGACCCCGATGGTGGCCCTTACCGACACCTCCGACCACCAGCAGCTTCCCAAAGAAGAGCAGCAGATCTGTGACTTTATCCAGGACAACTACCCTGCAGTGGGAGGCAGGACGGCGGGGGGTGAGGTCCTGGCGGGGCTGGGAATAGTGATGGGGATGGCAGAGCCCTGGACCAAGCGTGAGACCCTTCTAAGCAGTGTCTGCCCGTGAGGCCAGCTTAAGGATGGGCGATCTGGGTAAGGGACCCCATGGCGGCCTGACCTGAGAACGTTCCTCATGAGCAGCTTGAAGGCGTTTTTGGCTGAGACACAGAAATTCTTCCCGTAGATGGCGATCTGGGAGGAGCAGGAAAGAAAGGTCAGAGCCACACCCCTGGCGAGCCTGGCCCCCTCCCCCGCGTTGGTGGAGCCCGGGCAGGCAGAGGGGTACTGAGCAAGAGGCTCCTTGAGGCCGTGCTCACCATGATGTAGGCGTTGCGGTTGAGAAACTTAATAAACTTCTCCAGGCACCAGAGGCAGCACTTGAAGCAGCAGATGATGCACCGGGCCACAGCATTTTGGGATCCTAGGGACAAAGGAAGCTGACGCTCAGCCGCTGGCTTCTGAGCTAAACCCGCCCATCACCGGTCACCATTCACCTCTTAGCTTGTGGTCAATGTATTCCAGGATGACCCGGGCTATCTGCACAAGGGTCAGGATGAGGGCTCCAAAGGCCAGCGACCCAGTGTGGTAACTGCAGAGGGTGTGTAGGCGAGATGAGATACCCCGGTACCTCCCGGTATCCCTAGGGCTGACGCTTCCCTGGGGGCTGCCCCTGGCTCACCGGAGGGTGCGGATGAAGGCTGAGCTCAAGGGGAAGGTAGGGATGTCTTTAGGCTTATGAAAGGCCCAGTAGAAGGAGGCAAAGGCCCCGGCAAGGACGCACTGGCCCAGCGCCAGTACCCAGTTAACCGTCCAGAAGAGCCCCAACACTCCATAGATTTGCAGGTTGAAGAGAGAGCGCTGGGCTAGGCCCGTGGACGAGTAGCCCTGGAAGGCGCACGTGAGCCCCGGGCAGGAGGAGAAATTCCCGGTTGAGGCCTGGAAGTGACAGGGAGGACACAGTAGGGTCAGACCCTGGAGTGGCAGGCAGATCCTTAACCTTCCCTCCAGGCTCAGAGCAGCTCAGACTTTCCCTGGCGTGACTAACCAGCTTCCTGGTTTCCAGGTCGACTCAGAAGCTGTCTAGAAGGCCTGTGGCAAGCCCAGTGTGTAGGTGGTTTTATGGTTTCCACCTGCTCTGTGGCTTTCCCAGAGACCTGTTTTAGAGAAGCCTCTGAAGCTGCCGTCAAGACACTGCGGGCATTTAACGGCATTAAGTAATTTTGTTGGCTGTAACAACAAAACAATGTCGGGGTGTGTGTGCGTGCGTGTGCGTGCGTGTGCATGCTTTGCCGGGATTGAACACTGATCCTCACCCATTTTACAACCTCCCCCCAGTAGCTGAGCTTCACACCCAGCTTTATTAGACTTCCTTTTTCTTCTTTTTTCCTTCCTTCCTATTTTTAGCGTAGAAGCTGGAACTTCAGGAACAAATGACAGTTTTTTTTTTTTTTATCAGTGACCTAATCCTCAAGCTCTGCTTTTTTAAGTCATCTGTTGAGGGGCTGGAGACGCGTATCAGCTGGTAGCCAGCTTGCCTAGCGTGTGCAAAGCCACCACAGAAGCCCCTGCACGGTTGGGCACGCCTGTTGTCACAGGCTGCGGGAGGTAGAGACAGGAGGATCAGTTTAAGGTCACCCTCTCCCACGTAGCAAGATCCAGACCAGCCTGGACCACTTAAGACCTTGTCTATAAACAGATAAACAAAGGAACAAATGCTCTTTGAGATCCACCTTAGCACACTTGTGTGTAAAGAGGTATGATAGTCAGAATCTGTATTCAAACTACCTGAGCTGCATAATTTTAGCCCTGCAATCCCAATATTTAAGGAAGCTAGGGCAAGGGGATTGCGGTGAATTTGAGGTCAGCATGGGCTACAGAGTAAATTTCAGTCTAGCACAGAGAGAGAGAGAGAGAGAGAGAGAGAGAGAGAGGAGAAGAATGGGGTGGTGGTGGCAAATGCCTTTAATCCCAGCACCTGGAGGCAGAGACAGGTATATCTCCGTGTTCGAGGCCAGCCTGGTCTACAAAGT